GGTGTGGAGCCTGAGGGTGCTAAGCCTGGGGGTGCTGAGTCGGAGGGTGCGGAGTCCGGGGGTGTTGAGCCTCGGGGTGCTGCATCGTCTGGAGGTCCTGCTGGTGCTTTGCCGCGACAGTCTCTGCAGCAGCTGCGTGAGTGGTTTGTTCGGCACGCACACCTTTGGAGTGGAGCTACTGGAGCTGGAGGTGCTGGAGGTACTGCTCGAGCTGGTGGTACTAGAGGTACTTCGGCTACTAGTCCTGGAGGTGCTCGTACCAGGGGTACTGGAGCTGCCGGGGCTGGTGGTGTTGAGGGCGCTGGAGTTGGAGACCCTACGGAGCCTGGAGCTGCTGGAGCTGGAGGCACTGGCGCTGGTGGCGCTGGAGCTGGAGGCGCTGGAGCTGCAGGAGCTGGAGCTGTTGACCCTGGAGCTCAAGGTGCTGAAGACACTGTGCGGCCGCGACCGTACTTCGTTCCCCTACTTCAGCAAGTTCTTGGTGTCCCGTCTTCTACTGGCCTTACTCCTCCCCTCCTGTGTCCACCGCCTGACCAATCGCAGCTGCCGTTGCAGCCCGCCTCCCCACTGCCTGCTCCCTCTCCTTACACTGAGCAGTCCGGCGGTCTTACAGAGCATCGTGAGCCTGCGTCTCATCCTGTCTTGCCTGTTCGCACTGCTCATCGTGTTCCTCGTTTGCATCCTCCTCCTGTCCCTGGCACGCACGCTATGGCACTCCGTCCTTCCTCTGTTCCACTACGTGTTCCTCTGCCTGCTCCTCCTGAGTCCTCTCTTTTTGAGGTCCCTGACCCTGAGTCTGACCGCGCTCGTGCTGCCAGTCCCACTGACGTTCGTCTCCTCGCCACTGCTGACACTGACCCTTCCTTTGAGTCTGCTGCTGCGTCTGCTCTCGTTGCTGAGCTGCATGACTTTGCTGCTGTCTGTCGTCTAGACTACGCCACTGCTCTTGTTGTTGAGTCTGAGTCTGCCAGTCCTCCGTCCGTCGGGGGTGAGTGTGCTCTTGGTACGGACGTCCTTTAGGACAGGCAGGAGGACTTTGAGTGTCTTACAGCTGCTGTACCTCGTTTCGCTTCCATGCTGCTTGCCCCTGAGGGAGACCTGGAAGCACCAGACATCCCGACTCCGCGCTCTTACGCAGAGGCGATTACGGGTCCTTACTCCTCTCAGTGGCAAGCAGCCATGGATGCCGAGATGGTATTATGGAAGTCCACAGGCACCTACGTCGACGAGGTTCCCCCACCTGGGGCGAACATAGTCGATGGCATGTGGATTTTCAGGGTGAATCGGCCGCCGGGTTCTCCGCCTGCCTTCAAGGCGCGTTACGTTGCTCGAGGCTTCAGTCAGCGACAGGGGGTCGACTAATTTTAGACCTTCTCTCCCACCCCGAAGATGACTACTCTTCGGGCGTTGCTGCACGTCGCTGCTCAGCGTGACTATGAGTTGCACTCTCTGGACTTCAGCACAGCTTTCTTGCAGGGCGGCCTGCACGAGGAGATCTGGTTGCGCCGCCCACCTGGCTTCACTGGGTTGTTTCCTGCAGATACCCAGTGGAGCCTCCGCCGGCCAGTCTACTGTCTCCACCAGGCGCTTCGCGAGTGGCGCGACACACTGAGGACTACTCTTGCGGCTCTTGGGTTTGCTCCTTCTACTGCTGACCCGTCACTGTTTCTACGCACCGACACCTCGCTGCCAATGTTCTATGTCCTCTTGTACGTCAACGACCTCGTCTTTGCCACTGCTGACACTGAGGCACTTACCCTCGTGAATTTGGAGCTGCAGAAGAGACACACGTGCACTGACCTGGGTGAACTGCGCAGCTATCTTGGCTTGCAGATCACCGGGGACAGAGCACGGCGCACCATTACACTGACTCAGTCACACATGGTGCACCACGTCCTTCAGCGCTTCGGCTTCCAGTTCTCCTCACCACAGCCCACTCCTCTGTCTACCGGCCACTCGCTCTCAGCTCCACCTTCGGACGAGTCCGTAGAGTCGAGTGGTCCGTACCCAGAGCTTGTCGGTTGCCTCATGTACCTGATGACGTGCACTCGACCTGACCTCGCGTACCCTCTCAGCCTTCTGGCTTGCTACGTGGCTCCCGGTAGGCACCGAAAGGTGCACTGGGATGCTGCGAAGAGGGTACTGCGTTACTTGTGCAGTACGTCGGGCATGGGGCTCGTGCTTGGAGGACGGGGTCCAGTTGTCCTCACTGGTCACGCAGACGCTTCTTGGGCTGACGACCAGGCGACTCAGCGGTCGTGACATGGTTACACTTTCAGCCTCGGTTCTGGCTCCGTGTCGTGGCGGTTTACCCGCTCGTCTTCGGTTCTCAGCTCCAGTTGTGAGGCTGCGATCTACGCAGGGGGCATGGCTGCACAGGAGCTTCGCTGGCTCACCTACCTGCTGACTGACTTAGGAGAGCAGCCTCGTTCGCCTCTAGTTCTGTACGTAGACAACAAGGCCATGATTGCCTTGTGTCAGGAGCACAGACTGGAGCACCGAACGAAGCACATCGCTCTGCGATACTTCCTTGCTCGAGAGTTGTAGCAGCGTGGCCAGCTTCGTCTTGCATACGTGGCCACTAGGGCCAACACTGCTGATGTATTCACCAAGGCACTTCCGCCTGGTGATCATCAGCGCTTCTCTACTGTGTTAGGCCTTGTGCCTACTTTGCCTCACTTGCTTACTGCTTGACTCTGCTTGTACTGTGATCTATATATATACGTGCATGCTTGCACTTGCTAGGGTATGATCACTGTCTTGTTTGTTCTCTTTTATTTAACTCTGCATGTGAACTGGCCTTTTGGCCCTTTGCTTGTGCTCGGACTGTGTGGTGACTTTGTGATCCACCTTGAGCTTGCTTTGTTTGCTTGACTGGTCTTGTGACCACTTGTTCTCCCCCACTTTGCCTATGGGGGTGTGTCAAACTTATATATAGCTTACATTTGTGTAGGCTATAGTGGGGTAGCCCATAAGGGGTACAACCCAATTAGGGTTAGTACTTGTACCCAACTGTTTGGTAGTTCATTCATTCTCGTTCATTCTCTTGACAGCCGGCTCATGTATAGGATGGCGAAGCAAACTGCAACGGAGGTACCCATCGCCGTCCCTTGAATCTGCCGAAATATCCTTCCATCGAAATCCACGTAAGAGTTAAACATTACCCACTCCAATAAAGCTATAATGACAGGTGCGTTGGGAAAACGTAGTGGGTCTCGTTCCAGAAAGGAGTGGACAACATTGACACCTTCTCGTAGCGGGATTGAAGGGTAAAGAGCTTGGACGTCGTAGGTGGCAAGTAGTAACTTCTTCGGCACGGGACTTTTCTCCAGGTGAAGGAGAAGTGACAATGAGTCTCTCAGGTACGTAGGCTGTTGGAGAACCAGCGGTCCAAGAGCAGCGTCTAACCAGCGGCTGGCATTCGCGGTAACCCAGGAGTGGGAAGCTGCTATAGGTCGTCCAATTGGAACTTTCTTGTGCACCTTCATAATGACATAAAAGATGGCCGGCTTCCAGCCACTTGTCGCAGGGTGAGTAAAGTAATTCCACAGATATCTAGGGAGTAAAGGTCCAAAGTTAGCATGAATGTCAATCAACTTAGCAAAAACCGAAGACCAGGGATCTTCAACATCTGCTGCAGTTGTGCATATTTCAGTGTAAGTGCTCTTGTCCAGGAGGTGGTTGAGGCATTCTTTGGTGTAGGATGTGCGGTCCATCAAGGTAATCCCCGTGTTTTTGTCGGCTTGTTTGATGATAAGGTTGGTGTCAGAAGCAAGTCCATCGATGGCTTTGTAATACCCCTTGGGAAGGTACTGCCCTTTGCGGATAGGCGTTTGAGAGAGCAGGAGGGATAAATCCTTTCTGGTTTCTTCAAAAATTGCTTCCAACTTCTCATCCTTCTCAGGTAACCAGCCAGAATTACTAATCCGGAAACGGTTGCCAGTACGTCCTGCTCCCTTAAAGAATTCCTGTAGCTTTATAGACCTGAACAAATTGAAAAAATCGTTCAAGATTTCGGAAGGAGCAAACGGCGGCGCATGCGGTAAGACAAACTTGAGCCCTAGTCCTAGCACACTTCGTTCAGCAGGTGTTAGGCTGTGGGAGCTCAAGTTAAACACTCCGTGGTTGATGATCCGGGTCTTAGCTTGAGACTCGGTTAGTCTTCCAAACCAGCGGAGTGCCAATTCTTTGCTTGTTAGCTGCGCTGGCCCCTTGTGGGGCCTCCTCCGTTTTTTGGTTTATACCATCGCTTCTTCTTTTTCTTCTTCCCCTTGTCCTCTTCTGATGCAGATGCCTGAGGTTGCTGCTGCTGCTGCTGCTGTTGTTGCTGGGCCTGCTGCTTCTTCTGTTGCTGTCCCTGCTGCTGCTGCTGCTGCTTCCCCTTAGCCGATGACTAATTCTGCAACTCAAGTTTTTCAAGCCGTTTAAGCACCGCGGAAAGTTCGGAGTCAACAACATCCTTAGCAACTTCCCTCATGGTAGGCTCTGTCTCCATATTCTGGAGTTCTTCTTGAGCTGCCTTCTTCACCATCTCTGCTTCATTTTTAAGGCGCTGATTCTCATGAAAGTCCATGAATGACTTGGTCTGCTGAATCTCAATTGCAGCAATAGCTTCTTGAATGAGCTTTCCTTTGAAGAATTCCATCACTTCCTTTGTCTTGTCTAGAATCCTCCTCCATGGCTTTAATGCCATTAATATAATTGGAAATTAGTCCATCCAAGAGAGAAACAGCACCGTTAGCTTCATTAAAAGCGGTAGTCATTAACTCCTCCTTAGCTTCAATGAAAACTTTCTGGTGTTGTAGAAGAGCCTCATTATGCAGAGAGGAGATCTTATCATCAGTGACCTTCTTAATAGCCTCATTGCTGGTCTGGAACTGAACGGCTTAAGACGTCATTGCTGAACTGAATAGCCTCATTGAGACGTCTCAAAAATCTACTTTCTACACGTTGCCCCCCATCGTAGCAAGCGTGCTCCCCCAATCCCCACACCCATCGTCATGCGTCGCACCGGGCGTCCGCCGCCGAGGGAGCTCGTCATTGGTGAGGGGGATGAGGGGGGTGAGGGGGGTGAGCGGGGTGAGGGGGGTGAGGGGGGTGAGTGGGGTGAGGGGGGTGAGTGGGGTGAGTGGGGTGAGGGGGGTGAGTGGGGTGAGTGGGGTGAGGGGGGTGAGTGGGGTGAGGGGGGTGAGTGGGGTGAGTGGGGTGAGGGGGTGAGGGGGGTGAGTGGGGATGAGGGTGGATGAGTGTGGTGAGGGTGGTAGTGTTGGGGGTGAGGGGGGTGAGTGGGATGAGGGGGGTGGGGGGGAGTGGGGGGGGATGAGGGTTGTTGTGAGGGCAGTGAAAGTAATGAAGAAGACTTGTTTCATTGATGCACTGTTTCATTGATGCACTGCTTCATTGATGCACTGTTTCATTGGTGCACTGTTTCATTGGTGCACTGTTTCATTGGTGCACTGTTTCATTGGTGCACTGTTTCATTGGTGCACTGTTTCATTGGTGCACTGTTTCATTGGTGCACTGTTTCATTGATGCACTGTTTCATTGGTGCACTGTTTCATTGGTGCACTGTTTCATTGGTGCACTGTTTCATTGGCGCACTGTTTCATTGGCGCACTGTTTCATTGGTGGACGGTTTCATTGGTGCACTATTTCATTGGTGCATTGTTTCATTGGTGCACTGTTTCATTGGTGCATTGTTTCATTGGTGCACTATTTCATTGGCGCACTGTTTCATTGGTGCAATGTTTCATTGATGCACTGTTTCATTGGTGCACTGTTTCATTGATGCACTGTTTTCATTGGTGCACTGTTTCATTGGTGCACTATTTCATTGGTGCACTGTTTCATTGATGCACTGTTTCATTGGTGCATTGTTTCATTGATGCACTGTTTCATTGGTGCACTGTTTCATTGGTGCACTGTTTCATTGGTGCACTGTTTCATTGGTGCATTGTTTCATTGGTGCACTGTTTCATTGGCGCACTGTTTCATTGGTGCACTGTTTCATTGATGCACTGTTTCATTGGTGCGCTGTTTCATTGGTGCACTGTTTCATTGGTGCACTGTTTCATTGGCGCACTGTTTCATTGGTGCACGGTTTCATTGGTGCACTATTTCATTGGTGCATTGTTTCATTGGTGCACTGTTTCATTGGTGCATTGTTTCATTGGTGCACTCTTTCATTGGCGCACTGTTTCATTGGTGCACTGTTTCATTGATGCACTGTTTCATTGGTGCACTGTATCATTGATGCACTGTTTTCATTGGTGCACTGTTTCATTGGTGCACTATTTCATTGGTGCACTGTTTCATTGATGCACTGTTTCATTGGTGCATTGTTTCATTGATGCACTGTTTCATTGGTGCACTGTTTCATTGGTGCACTGTTTCATTGGTGCACTGTTTCATTGGCGCACTGTTTCATTGGTGCACGGTTTCATTGGTGCACTATTTCATTGGTGCATTGTTTCATTGGTGCACTGTTTCATTGGTGCATTGTTTCATTGGTGCACTATTTCATTGGCGCACTGTTTCATTGGTGCACTGTTTCATTGATGCGCTGTTTCATTGGTGCACTGTTTCATTGATGCACTGTTTTCATTGGTGCACTGTTTCATTGGTGCACTATTTCATTGGTGCACTGTTTCATTGATGCACTGTTTCATTGGTGCATTGTTTCATTGATGCACTGTTTCATTGGTGCACTGTTTCATTGGTGCACTGTTTCATTGGTGCACTGTTTCATTGGTGCACTGTTTCATTGATTCACTGTTTCATTGGTGCACTGATTCATTGATGCACTGTTTCATTGGTGCACTGTTTCATTGGTGCACTGTTTCATTGGTGCACTGTTTCATTGGTGCACTGTTTCATTGATTCACTGTTTCATTGGTGCACTGATTCATTGATGCACTGTTTCATTGGTGCACTGTTTCATTGGTGCACTGTTTCATTGGTGCACTGTTTCATTGGTGCACTGTTTCATTGCTGCACTGTTTCATTGGTGCACTGTTTCATTGCTGCACTGTTTCATTGGTGCACTGTTTCATTGGTGCACTGTTTCATTGGTGCACTGTTTCATTGATGCACTGTCTCATTGGTGCGATGTTTCATTGGTGCACTGTTTCATTGGTGCACTGTTTCATTTGTGCATTGTTTCATTGGTGCACTGTTTCGTTGGTGCACTGTTTTATTGGTGCACTATTTCGTTGGTGCACTGTTTCATTGGTGCACTGTTTCATTGGTGCACTAAGTTAGGTAAATCAAGCAAGATGCTTGATTTCATTGATTTCAGTGCTGCACCTAAGTGCTTATGCTCTCCCTTTACCTTCCCCTCTATCGTCACTCTCTTCTCGACCCTGTTCCATCATTCCCCGTCCCAACCCTCCCTGCCCCGCCATTCACTGTTCCATTCTTGTTTGCCCGCAGTGTTGCTTTGGGTGCCAAGAGAATTAAAAGTCACTCAAGCTCTCATTCTCACCGGCCCTTGTTGTGCCATCAATCTCTTCATCCCCCTCCTGTCGACCCTATGTGCCTGCAGTTCTGCTCTTGGTGCTGCCGTTTGTCACACTGCTTCGGTCCGCTGCTGCTGTTACAAGTATGTTATCACCCTCCCTTGCCCCTCTTCCTCCAGCCTCCCTTGCCGCTCTTCCTCCACCCTCCCTTGCCGCTCTTCCTCCTCCCTCCCTTGCCGCTCTTCCTCCACCCTCCCTTGCCCCTCTTCCTCCACCCTTCCTTGCCGCTCGCCCCACCTTCCCTCTCTCCCCGCCCTCTTTTGCCGCTCTCTCACCGGCCTGCTTCTGCTGTTACTAGTATGTCCTCGTTACAAGCAGATGCGGTGGTGTCCATTAAGAGCCTCTTCTGCCACTGTTTCAATACAAGACGGCTGCTCTGTTGTGTCAGATCTGCTCACTCTCTTTGTTTCGTGAGTCCTCCCTTACTCACTCTGCTCTTTCTCTCACTTCCCTTTGCCCTCCCTTTTCCTCCCTTCCCTCTCCTGACTGATCTGGTCGATTGTTTTGTGTCGGATCTTCCCTCTGCCCTCCCTCTTCCTCACACTTCCTTCCCACCTGCCTCACGAAACCACCTTGGCCTTTTGCCACACCCATCTTAACCCCCGCCAACCCCCCCATTGCCCCTTGCTCGCCACCCTTACTCTTGCCCACCAGCGCACTACTCATCATTGCTGTGCTAGAAAATAATTCCCACCAGCGCGGCGCTTTCGTTCTCTGCCCATCTCAACCGCACCAAACCCTTTGCTCCCTGCATTGTTCCACCACCCCCACCAGCACAGTACTCGTCGCTGCGCTGGAGAATCGCCCCCACCATTGTTGTGCCGGCCACCACAGGCACCTTCTCGCTCACAGTGGATAGCCCAGACAAGTGCGTGTGGAATGGAGTAGGGGTAGCTGTGTGCGCAGTGGATACCTGTGTGCATTGGAGCTCGTGTTTTGAGTCGACTCAAAACACAGCTCATTCACCCCTTCGCCCCCACCAGCATTGTGCCGGCCACAACAGGCACCTTCTCGCTCACAGTGGATAGCCCATACAGGTGTGTGTGGAAGGGAGTAGAGGTAGCTGTGTGCGCAGTGGATACCTGTGTGGATTGGAGCTCGTGTTTTGAGCCGACTCAAAACACAGCTCATTCACCCCTTCGCCCCCACCAGCGTTGTGCCATCCACCACAGGCACCTTGGCTCTCACTGTGGACACGTCAGACAGCTATGGGGGTTAATTTAAATTAAAGGGGGGAGGTAGCTGTAGCTGTACTATTGTGTGCACCTGAAACCCACCAGCGTTGTGTCAGGCACCTTGGCTCTCATTGTTGACACGCCTGACAGGTACTATGGGGAGGTAGCTGTACTAGTGTGTGAACTCTAGCGGATGTGTGCTTTGAGTGGCTCAAAACCACCAGTGTTGTGCCTGCCACCACAGGCACCTTGGCTCTCGTTGTGGATAGCTGTAGCTGCTTTTGCGCGTAGAGAAACGACTTCTGAGGTATTGTGGGGGAGGTAACTGTGCCGTATGTGCGCTTGAGTGCATGTGTGCTCTGAGTAGCTCAAAAGCAACCAGGTGTGGTTGCTCTCATTGTGGGCACCCCAGTGAGGTAGCTGTCAGTAACGGACAGGTGGGCTGCGGAGGCCTTACTTCCATCAACTCGTACGGTAGTAAGGATGACGAGACAAACCCCCTAGATCCGGTGAATGGGTGGAAGGAGCCTGGTTTACAGTGAGCTAGAGCTTTGAGTGACTCAAAAGCAGCCAGGTGTGGTTGCTCTCATTGCGGATACCCCAGTCAGGTACCTTCAGCCATTTGATTAGGCGAGCAGCAGTCTAAGGAGAAACTTTTAGTAAAAGATCGAATGTAAAAATCTGTTGTTGTAACCTGCTAAACAAGGAAACTCATGATTTCTGACTAGTAGATTAATACTGAGGCAACTTTTGAGACGTCTCAAAAGTCAGCAACTAAGTGTGGTTGCTCTCATTGCGGACATGGTACAGTGAGGGGGGGAAAGGGGTGGCTGTACTGTGAGAGGGGGGGGGGGGGGGGGGGGGGGGGTGTGTTCTGAGTCAGCGTGCCTGCCACCATAGGCACCTTCGCTCTCACTGTTGACACCCCAGACAGGTAATGCACGAGGGTTAGCTGTTCACACCCATCCTCACTCTCACAGTCTCGGGTTTGTTTTGAGTTGCATGCAAGCAATGCACCAGCGTGGTGCCATTGCCAGCGTGGGAAGGAGGGGGGGGGGAGGGTGGGGTAACTTTTGAGTCGACTCAAAATTCGGTACGTTTTGAGTTGAGTGCACCAGCGTGGTGTCATTGCCAGCCACCACAGACAAGTAAGTACACTTGAGAGGGGGGGGTGGGCGGCGGGGGGGTATAGCTGTAGCTAGCTGTACTAGTGTGTTTTGAGTCGACTCGAAATTGACCAGCCTGGTGCCTTCTCCACCTCACACGCCTCTCTCACTTGTCCTTTCATCTCTTCTCCTCACAGTCTCACCCCCATCACGTGCATTACCAGCTGGCACTAGTTGTATCCAGTCCGCCCTTTCCCTCCCTGCACGCCCACTTATACTCGACTCAACAAACTTCTGTATCGGCTATTTTCTTCCTGCTTCAAATCCCCATCTTATTTCCCCCTTTCCTTTGCTTATCTCCCCCCATGCCCCCTTGCCAGCTCGCCCTCCTCTCAGTCCCACCCACCCAGTCTCTCTCCTCACTCTCAGGGCATCCACTCAAAGATCCGCTCTCTTCTTTTCGATCTCTTTTTTCCTCTTTCTTCTTTCCTTTTCCCTCTTTCCTCTTTCCTCTTTCCTTTGCCCCCCTTCCTCCTTCCTTTTACTCAGTCCCCTTGTCTTCCGGCCCGCTCACATTCGTTTCAGCCTCGGTGGATAACTCCATCGCTCACACTCTCACAGAATACACTCACAACTTTGCTATCTTCAATGCATTCTTCTTCTCTTTTTCCTCCTTTTCCTCCTTCCCCGTGTATCCCTCCCAGCTCGCCCTCCTTTCAACCTCAGGCTCAGTTGATTGCCCACACTCTCACAAAATACACTCACAGCTTCCTTTTCCCTCTTTCCTCCTTTCCCTCATTCCTTCCCCCAGTCCAACTGCCAGCCCCCCATCCTCTCAGTCTCAGTCCATCTCCCACACTCTCACAGCACACACTCAGAGCACCGCTCTCTACTTTCCACCCTGGCTCTTTTAATAACGTTCTAAGCTAGCGCATAACCAGGCTCTTTTCCGCCATTTTTTCCATGGAGTTTGTCTCGTTGTCTTAAAACAACAAGAGTTGATGGAAATAAGGCCTTTGAAACCCACCTGTTTGCTTCTGACAGCTACAGCACACACTCAGAGCGCCGCTCTCTACTTTCCTTTGTCTTCCCTCCTTATTCTCTCCCCTTGTCTCCCTGCCAGCCCCCCCTCCTCCCAGGCCCAGTCCATCGCCCACACTCTCACAGCACACACTCAGACATCCCCTGTCTCTTCCTTCTGTTGTCCACATTTCTCATTCCTATCTCGCCACTCTTCTTTAATCTTTCCTCGTTCATCCGTCTTCCTTCCCAGTCTGTCCCCGCCAGCTCGCCCTCCTCTCAGCCTCAGTCCAATGCCTACACTCTAATAGCACACACCTGAAGCCCCACTCTCTTTTCTCCCATTTCCTCTGCTTCTCCCCTCCCCCCATGCCCCCCTGCCACCTCGCCCTCCTCTCAGCCTCAATGCATCGCATACACTCTCACAGAACGCACCCAGAGCTCCGCTCTCTACAGTGTCATTCTCTACAAGAACGTCCCACTAGGCTTGGTTGGCACTGCCTCCTCCTCCTCCTCCTCCTCCTCCTCCTCCTCCTCCTCCTCCTCCTCCTCCTCCTCCTCCTCCTCCTCCTCCTCCTCTTCATCAGAGCAGCAGCATTCCTCCCACAAGTGGAGCCCAAGAAAGGAGGCACCAGGATAGAAGGAGGAAGCCGGAGAGGAAGAGGTAGCAGGGGAGGAGACAAGGGCAAAGGGACAGGAAGCGGCAGCAATGGAAGCAGCGGCATCAGCAAAGGGGGCAACAGCAGGCCATCTCTAGTCAAGGACCCAGTCGCAATAGTGGACTCTCTTAAAACACGCCTTAAGCTCAAACCCAAGGGCAACGTGAATCCATCCCCTAAGCCCAGCCACGTGCCAAGGCGTGAAGGTTTGCGAACAGGTGGAGCTGAGTTTGTGCCTTCAGGGGCAGGTGTGGTGCAAGCAGGAGCCAGAGAAGATTACAAAAGTGGGACTGGGCATACAGGCATGGTTACTGAAAGCAGCAGTGGCGGCGGCGGTGGCGGAAGCAGCAGCAGCATGAAGAGTAATGATGTTATCAAATTATTTCTGCCCTGCTTGTGGCAGGCTGTGAATGATGTGATTGGTGAATGGACCTGTTTGGGCAGCCTTGACCTTTCCACAATCTCCAACACGGGCGATGCAGCAGGATCAGGGGAAGCTTCTTCCAATGCTGATGCAGCAGCTTGGCTTGGCGGGAAATACTGGGAGACCCTACTGTAGCTCTGTTTGGAGTGTACATGCAGGAGGGTTTGAGACAGGGTCAGCCTGACATATTTGGTCTTTTAATAAATTGTGCTGCAGAAGGGGAGGGTGGTGGTTGAACAAAACATTGTGGACATGCTGCTACTAATGTACAATATCTATTTGACCCTTGCAGAGCCTAAGCCAGGGCTAGCGAGCTGTCAGGTGCAAGTGCAGGTATGCTGTGCCTAGCAATTTCCTGTTAAAACTATTCCGAGGAATGCATTTTTTTCCCTGAGATTAAGTTATTCAACTTTCCATTGCTCTTATATCCCGTTTCGAGTTTCCATTGGTAGGGGCCGCGCGAACGCGAGCCCCCGCTGCCACAAATAATGACGTGCATCACCGGGAGTTCCGGCGTGCTAGGAGTAGGGCCGGCCGAAGTGCAATGGCGGGCCCACCCCTAGGCCATCGGCCTTGTTGATCACCGATAGACCCCGCCCAGGTAAGTATGCTCGATATTTGTTAAAAATTACTACTTATTGTGATCGAAGGAAAGCGTTATGTAGTGATTCATGGGATGCGTTGCCACGTGTATTCTCATATGGACAGCCAGCTGTTTCTTCGATTCCGTCCGTAACTAGAGACACGGGCTCGAATCCTTGGAAGGCGAGTTTCGTGCTTCCCTGCTCCCACCGAAGTGATCCCACCCTAGCTCACACAAGGTACTTCATTCCTCTGTTTTGAGTGGTCCGTGATCTATTGCCTAGGTAAATGGTCGTGCCTCCTACTTCCCCCGTTTCCCGTAGTCACCACGCGACGCAAACATAGCTAATTGCACTACGATGTGCTTTCGCACACGTCTCTCGCAGATGCCCTGACAGGTTTCCAGTCAATAGTAGTATTATCCCGAACGCCCGGATTATCAATTCAGGTAGTCGAATGAGGAGGGACAGGGCTGTTACTCTAGATATACTCTAGACTCGTCCTTTTTCGAGATTTTGAAGTCTGCCCGTCTGCATCGCAGACTAAATTTAAATCGCTAACGTTACTCTTTCTCTACGCCGACGGTCCGTTTAGTGTTACCCCAAGTAACGCCACGGTACATTCAGTACGCTAACGTTACATTACAGTCGCACAGGTGAGCCGGGGGCACTGTCGCACAGGTGAGGCGATAGCACAGTCGCACAGGGGAGGTGAGAGCACAGTCGCACAGGGGATGCGAGAGCACAGTCGCACAGAGGAGGCGAGAGCATAGTTGCACAGGGGAGGCGAGAGCACAGTCGCACAGAGGAGGCGAGAGCACAGTGACACATGCTCCCCTCTCACCTGCGATGCACGATACTGTAACCAGGTTGGAGACACCGAACGAGTCGCTTCAAGCGAAAGTTCACGTTCTACACCACTTCCACACTGGACAGCACAAATCATTGCCTTGCCAACGCTCTTTCTAACCCCTCTCTGCCAAAGATGCGACTTTTCATTCAACCCAAGAGTCAAAAGACCCCTCTCTGGCTCCCAACACCATTCATTGGTTCGCCAAAGCTCGTCCTAACCCCTCTCTGCCTCTCTGCCTCTCTGCCTCTCTGCCTCTCTGCCTCTCTGCATCTCTGCCTCTCTGCCTCTCTGCCTCTCTGCCTCTCTGCCTCTCTGCCTCTCTGCCTCTCTGCCTCTCTGCCTCTCTGCCTCTCTGCCTCTCTGCCTCTGTGCCACTGTGCCTCTGTGCCGCCGTGCCTCTGTGCCTCTGAGCATATGTGCAATGCACGGGCATTTTAATGTGTGCACACGATCCAATTCCAACCCCTTTGTGCAATTCATGTCAAGTATTAGTCAAGTCAAGCCCCCGCGCCCCGTCACAATCGCTGCACCTCTTCGTCATTCATGAATCATCATCCCTCTCCCTCTATACCATTGCGTTCTCTCCCTTCGTTCCATCCCCTCCCCTCCTCCTATCCCTCCGCGGCCCATGGAAATCGTTGCACCTGTTCGCCATTGATGGATCATCTCCCTCTATGCCATTGTGTCCCATCCCCTTGTTCCATCCCTTCGTTCCATTGGAGTAGTTTCTCCTCCTCCGCGGCCTGTCATAATTACTGCACCTGTTTGCGTGATCAATTATCATCCCACTATGCCATTGCGTTCTATCCCTTCACTCCATCCCATCACTCCATCCCTCCACTCCATCCTTCACTCCATCCCCTCCCTCCCTCCATCCATTTGCTCCGTCACTTTCGCTCCATCCCTTCGCTCCATCCTTTTCTCCCTCCCCTCGTTCTCTCCCCTCTCCCATCGCCTCCCATCCCCTCACTCCATCCATGCTCTCCCATTGGCTGCTGCAGCCCATTTCACTGCTATCCCTCACTGTCACTCCTCACTCCACCCCATGCCCTTTCTCAAGAGACAATGTAGTGATTGCGCCTGAGAGATGAATATATATATATATATATATATATATCTATATATATATATATATATATTTTTTTTTTCAACAGCTCCTTTTGAAAAGCTCCTGCAACCCATCTTGCTGCCATCCCTCACTGCCATCCCTCACTCCACCCCATGCGCCTTTTCGAAAGACAACGTAGTGATTGGGCCTGGGAGATGAATCTACAGGCTGCTACTGAGAATGTTCAACAGCTCCTTTTGAGGCGTCTCAATGGCCGCTGCAGCCCATCTCGCTGCCATCCCTCCACTCCAGCTCATGCCCGTTCTCGAGAGACAGCGTAGAGATTGCGCCTGAGAGATGAGTCTGCTGGTTGGTACTTCAGAATTCTCAACAGCCCCTTTTACGGCCTCTCAAAAGCTGCTGCAGGCCATCTCGCTGCCTTCCCTCTCTCCACCCCATACCCCTTCTGAGAGATGAATTTGCTATCCGCTGCTAAGTATGTCCAACAGCTCCTTTTGAGACATCTCAAAAGCTGCTGCAGCCCATCTCGCTGCCATCCCTCACTCGAGCCCATGCCACTTCTCGAGAGACAGCGTAGAGATTGCGCCTGAGAGATGAATTTGCAGGCTGCTACTAAGAATTCTCAACTGCTCCTTTCAGCTCTCCATCGCTCCTCCCAACCTTTCGGTGCCTCGCTCCCTCCCCTCGCTCCCTCCCTGCCCTCCCTTTGGTTTCTGCAGGCCCCCTCGATCACTGCTGCCATGCACACATCCCCTTGTCAAATTGAAAGACAACGTGTGTGTGTGTGTGTGTGTGTGCGTGCGTGCGTGCGTGCGTGCGTGCGTGCGTGCGTGTGTGTGTGTGTGTGTGTGTGTGTGTGTGTGTGTGAGACAGGTGAATCTGCTGCACAGCAGGGTGCTTTTCGAATTGACTGAACTCTCACCTCGGCTGTTGCAGCTCCCCTCGTCCTTATTACTGCTGCCATGCACACATCCCTCACATTGGAAGACAATGTATCGTGTATGCGTGCAACCACTTTTGAGTCAAAACTCTTTGTGAGAATCCTCATAAGCTGCTTTTGGATTGGAACACCAAGTAGCGTCCTCCTGAAATTCACATCCTTCATCACGCTGTTTTTCACATGCAAGACATAATGTGGAATTTCTGACTGATGTTCTCACCATGCTTTACCCTCCACACGCCACTCATCCCCACCACCCTCCCCATACTCCAATCCCCACCACCCTCCCCGTGTTCCAATCCCCACCACCCTCCCCATGCTCCAATCCCCACCACCCTCCCCATGCTCCAATCCCCACCACCCTCCCCATACTCCATTTCCACCACCCTCCCTGTGCTCCACTCACCCCCCCCCCCCCCCCCCCCCCATGCTATATCCCATCATCCCCATTCCTTCAAGTCCCCATCTTCCACTGCTGTGCAATTGTGACGCATGCGTATAGGAACGCTGATCATGCCAGTGACGACTCGTTTGAGGGGAAAGCACGGGGGGGATAAGAGAGGGGTGGTTAAGGGAGAAAGGGAGAGGGAAGGGAGAAAGGGAGGGGAAGCGATGGAGGGCGTGAGGAAGGATGATGAGGATGGGCGTGACCTGTGGAACCATAATCAACTTGATTCTTATGATGGCATCTTTACACTGCTCAGCATTGTGTTGTGACTACAATGTACAAAATAAACGCACTTGATTAACATGAGACACAGAATTCCTAAAAGGGAGTTCATTTTTACGCCAATAGACGCCAGGACAGGATGTTGCCATCTGTCCATTCCTCTCATACCCCGTGACATGTTCTCTCGCGGCAAGATTGAACAGCCCCCCGTGGAATGTGGGTTCAGGTGCTTCATAACCAGGCATTCCTCGTCATGAACTGTGAGCACCACCTCCCTCGTTTTTCTGCAATCATTTTACACCCTCGCCCCATTGCTGAGCAGGGATTTTGAGTTATTACGGCATCTATTGTTCACAAGGTTTGCTAGAGCAGAGTCAAGGATTACCTACTGTACCACAACAGCAAAGCAGTGTAGGTCCGACAGGAAACTGACCTAAAAGCATGCTCATACGTTATACTGGTAGTCAAAGCGGTACGGTACCGTATTCTTGCACAAGATAAAATAATAACAAAAACCAACAGCACTTTTCGTGAGTACAGTAACCGCACTTGTGAAAACACAGCCACTTTGTACATGCATTCGCTTGATTGACATGGCACACACGCTGGCACCTGCCTCGGCACCGCTGCAGTGATGAGGGGGGAGGCTAGCAGCTGACACTAACAGCCACTCACTCTGGTCCAGAGTGACGTTTTCTTTCCCCCACCTCCTGAGCTCACACGAGGGGAGAGCGGCTGGGCCTTGCCTGGGGTGACGGGATGGGTCTATAAACTTGTCTGCTCCCTCCCCCTCCTCCTCAGCTCACAAGAGGAGAGGGCAGCTGGGCCGTGGCTGGGGTGGCGGGATGGGAGCAGGTCCGTGTGAACAGCAGGCAGGGTCCAGAGTTTCCTCTCTTCTCCACTCCTCCTCCCCTGCTGACAGAGGGGAGAGCAGCTGGGCCTTGGCTGGGGTGGCACAGCAGGCAGGGTCCAGAGTCACCTGTTTGCTCCCCTCCCCCTCCTCTCCCTCTTGCACCTGGCTTCTTGCGCCTGTTCCAGAGGGGAGGGCAGCTGAGCCTTAGCTAGCAGGATGGCAGCAGGTCCGTGTACTAAGGAACCGCTCCCATCCTGCTCCCTTGAAGGGTCCAGAATTGCCTGTGTGCTCCCCTTCCCCTCCTCCCCATTCCCACTGTTGCACCTGCCCGTTTGCGCCTGGTCCCTTGTGCCTTGAATCTCCTTTGCGCTGCAGCTCCCGTCGTTTGTATTTACCTCGCCCAGGCTGCACCGGGTGCCCAACTCTGCTGCCATCATCATCCCATCCATTTGCCCCTCTATCCCCATCCATTTGCCCCTCTATCCCCATCCATTTGCCCCTCTATCCCCATCCATTTGCCCCTCTATCCCCATCCATTTGCCCCTCTATCCCCATCCATCTCTGTACCCATCTATCTGCCCCTCTCTGTACCCATCCATCTTCCTCCACAAACCCATCAGCCTCCCCTCGTGCCACAGCCATTCCCTCCCTTCCGCCTCCCCTCTTTCCACAGCTGTCCTCTTCGCCTCACCTTCGTGATACAGCTCTCTCCCTCCCCATCTGGCTGAGGTGAGGGCATGAGGTGAGCAAAAGGTGGGAGACAGGCAAGAGCAAGCACGCTCCGCCTGCCCCTCCTGCCACATCTGCCTCTGCCACAAGCAAGCAGATCGTGCACCTTGTCAATGTGTGTATGAAGAAGTGTTTTGAGCCGTCTCAAAACACTTCTTCATACACCTCTGCCACAAGCAAGCAGACTGCACACCTTGTCCATGTGTGGGTGAGGGCAGTGCAAGCACATCGCACATCGCACATCGCACATCGCACACCCCGGCCCCTCCTGAACATCCCTCTCTTCGATTCTTTTTTCCCTCCCCAGGAATCACGCACCCACTGCTTCCTGCTCCCCCTGCCCCTCCTGCCAACCAGCTCCCTCCCCCTCTCTGCCTCCGGCAGCACACTCTTGAGCAGCCTGTGCGTCCCATCAGTGTGTGGGTGAAACCAATACATGCACACCACTCACGCACATACTGCCTCCTGCCCCTCCTGCCCTTCCTTCCCCTCCTGCCCTTCCTGCCCCTCCTGCCCTTCCTGCCCCTCCTGCCCTTCCTGCCCCTCCTGCCCCTCCTGCCCCTCCTGCCCCTCCTGCCCCTCCTGCCCCTCCTGCCCCTCCTGCCCTTCCTGCCCCTCCTGCCCTTCCTGCCCCTCCTGCCCTCCTGCCCTCCTGCCCCCCCTCCTGCCCCTCCTGCCCCTCCTGCCCCTCCTGCCCCTCCTCCTGCCCCTCCTGCCCCTCCTGCCCCTCCTGCCCCTCCTGCCCCTCCTGCCCCTCCTGCCCCTCCTGCCCCTCCTGCCCCTCCTGCCCCTCCTGCCCCTCCTGCCCCTCCTGCCCCTCCTGCCCCTCCTGCCCCTCCTGCCCCTCCTGCCCCTCCTGCCCCTCCTGCCCTTCCTGCCCCTCCTGCCCCTCCTGCCCCTCCTGCCCCTCCTGCCCCTCCTGCCCCTCCTGCCCCTCCTGCCCCTCCTGCCCCTCCTGCCCCTCCTGCCCTCCTGCCCCTCCTGCCCCTCCTGCCCCTCCTGCCCCTCCTGCCCCTCCTGCCCCTCCTGCCCCTCCTGCCCCTCCTGCCCCTCCTGCCCCTCCTGCCCCTCCTGCCCTCCTGCCCCTCCTGCCCCTCCTGCCCCTCCTGCCCCTCCTGCCCCTCCTGCCCCTCCTGCCCCTCCTGCCCCTCCTGCCCCTCCTGCCCCTCCTGCCCCTCCTGCCCCTCCTGCCCCTCCTGCCCCTCCTGCCCCTCCTGCCCCTCCTGCCCCTCCTGCCCCTCCCCTCCTGCCCCTCCTGCCCCTCCTGCCCCTCCTGCCCTCTTCCTGCCCCTCCTGCCCCTCCTGCCCCTCCTGCCCCTCCTGCCCCTCCTGCCCCCTCCTGCCCCTCCTGCCCATCCCTGCCCCTCCTGCCCCTCCTGCCCCTCCTGCCCCTCCTGCCCCTCCTGCCCCTCCTGCCCCTCCTGCCCCTCCTGCCCCTCCTGCCCCTCCTGCCCCTCCTTGCCCCTCCTGCCCCTCCTGCCCCTCCTGCCCCTCCTGCCCCTCCTGCCCCTCCTGCCCCTCCTGCCCCTCCTGCCCCTCCTGCCCCTCCTGCCCCTCCTGCCCCTCCTGCCCCTCCTGCCACAGCTGTCTCCCCCACCAGAGTGTGGGTGAGCACAATACACGCACTCACTTTTGAGACGCCAATGATGCCAACGCACTCACTTTTGAGACGCCAATGATGCCAACGCACTCACTTTTGAGACGCCAATGATGCCAACGCACTCACTTTTGAGACGCCAATGATGCCAACGCACTCACTTTTGAGACGCCAATGATGCCAACGCACTCACTTTTGAGACGCCAATGATGCCAACGCACTCACTTTTGAGACGCCAATGATGCCAACGCACTCACTTTTGAGACGCCAATGATGCCAACGCGCTCACTTTTGAGACGCCAATGATGCCAACGCACTCACTTTTGAGACGCCAATGATGCCAACGCACTCACTTTTGAGACGCCAATGATGCCAACGCACTCACTTTTGAGACGCCAATGATGCCAACGCGCTCACTTTTGAGACGCCAATGATGCCAACGCACTCACTTTTGAGACGCCAATGATGCCAACGCACTCACTTTTGAGACGCCAATGATGCCAACGCACTCACTTTTGAGACGCCAATGATGCCAACGCGCTCACTTTTGAGACGCCAATGATGCCAACGCACTCACTTTTGAGACGCCAATGATGCCAACGCACTCACTTTTGAGACGCCAATGATGCCAACGCACTCACTTTTGAGACGCCAATGATGCCAACGCACTCACTTTTGAGACGCCAATGATGCCAATGCACTCACTTTTGAGACGCCAATGATGCCAACGCACTCACTTTTGAGACGCCAATGATGCCAACGCACTCACTTTTGAGACGCCAATGATGCCAACGCACTCACTTTTGAGCCGTCTCAAAAGATGCCAATGCACGCACCAACTCCCTCCTACCCCGCCTGCTCTTCCTGCCCTTCCTTCCCCTCCCGCCACAGCTCTCTCCCCCGCCCGTCTCTGCCAGAATTCCCTTTCTTGAGCAGCCTGTGCGCCCCACCAGGGTGAGGGTGATGCCTGCCAATGCACTCACCACAATCAAGCACTCATGCACCAACTGCTTCCAGCTCCCTCCCACCATAACTCCCTCCACCGTTGTGCCTTTCCCAGCGCGTTCTTGAACAGCCTGTGTGTTCCAGAATTTCATGCACCAACTGCTTCCTGCCCTTCCTGCCCGTCCTGCCCTGCCTGCCCCTCCTGCCACAGCGCCCTCCCCCTCTCTGCCTCTGCTAGCACGCTCTTGAGCAGCCTGTGCGCCCCATTGTCGTCCAGAATGGCCACAGCACTCACCCGGCAGCGCGGGTGGTTCAAGGCCTGGTGAGGATGAATGGAAAGTGAGGTTATGAAGTGAGGGGTGACGGGTGAGGGGCATGAGTTGAGAAGAGGGTGAGGGCACTGTGGTGCAGGCACAGCCCATTGTCGCTCAAAATGGCCATGGCACTCACCCGGCAGCGCGGGCGATTCAAGGCCTGGTGAGGATGAATGGAAAGTGAGGTTATGAAGTGAGGGGTGACGGGTGAGGGGCATGAGTTGAGAAGAGGGTGAGGGCACTGAGTGGCAGGCACAGCCCATTGTCGCTCAAAATGGCCATGGCACTCACCCGGCAGCGCGGGCGATTCAAGGCCTGACAGGGGAAGGAGGAGAGAGAGGGGAGCATGCAAGCTCAAGAGGGGAGGAGAGGGGAGCATGCAAGCTCAAGAGGGGAGGAGAGGGGAGCATGCAAGCTCAAGAGGGGAGGAGAGGGTGCGGGGAATGCAGGTAAGCACGGCCCCGTTACCGCCCAGAGTGGCCACGCCACTCACCCGGCAGTGCAGGCGGTTCAAGGCCTGGCAGAGAGAGAGGAGATGGGAGCATGCAAGGTGAGAAAAGGACGAGAGGGTGAAGTGAAGGCGATGCCGCATTGTCGTCCATAATGGCTACGGCACTCAAACAAACGGCAGCATGGGCGGTTGAAGGCCTGGCCGGGAGGGAGTAGATGGGAGCATGCAAGCCGAAGAGGAGATGGGATGAAAACATGCAAGGCAAGGACGGCCCTATCGCCGTCCACAATCGCCATGGCACTCGCGACTCGCGAGACACCGCAGGTGACTCAATGCCTGGCAGCTTGGGAAAAGGGCGAGAGGAGAGGCTGACAGGGCAATGCATGCATGGCGAATGCAATGAAGGGAGTGAGCGACTTGTGGTGCTTCACAGCAACAGCAACTTGTTCCTTTCCAGTTTCCAGGGAAAGGAACAAAGTTGCTGTTGCTGCCATCATGTCATCAGCAACTTGTTCCTTTCCCTGGTCACTCACATGACATGATGGCATGCTAGATTGCCAGCCCCCCACTTCCCACCTTAACCTGCACTCACCTTGGCTTGGCGGTGTTGGGAAATTCAGCACCTTCACCTTCACCTGTATGTAGGCACCTGAAAGAACCCCTGTTGAACCTTCAGCAGCTGGCACGTGAATGCTGCGTGCATCACCCCTCACGCATGTACTTCACCCCTCACGCATGTACTTCACCCCTCACGCATGTACTTCACCCCTCACGCATGTACTTCACCCCTCACGCATGTACTTCACCCCTCACGCATGTACTTCTAGAATAGAACCAACAGCCCAGCTTACCGTGCGCTACCTGACAGCACCACAGCCCACCACATTCAACACCTGCACTCACCTTGGCGAGCCGCCGTCTGGAGAGAGCCACAACCACGGGAATGCTCCGCGTGGCGGCATCTGATAGGATCGACGTGAGGGCCGCATCAAGACCGCCTGGGGAACATAGGGGAGTGGGGATGGGATGGGTGGTTGGGATGGTGGGACAGGTGGATAGGTAGGGCTGGTTTGAACTGGGAATGCTGCGTGTGGCGGCATCTGATAGGAGGATGCGAGGGCCGCATCAAGACCGCCTGGAAAGAAAGGGGAGTGGGGAAAGAGGGGAGAGGAGGGGAGGGGAGAAGGAGCTTTTGAAAAGCTGGGAGTGGCAGCATCCGATAGGATGGATGTGAGGGCCGCATCAAGACCGCCTGCGGAACAGAGGGGATGGGGGATGGGATGCGTGGATGGGTTGGGGTGGTTGGAACTGGGGTGGGGTGGTGGATGCGTGTGGATTCGAGAGCGACCGCCTGGGGAGAGAGAGGAGAGGTGGATGGGCGGGGTGGGTGTGGAATGCTGCTTGCAGTGACGTTTGCTAGAATGGGACAGGGCGGAGGGGGGGATGGGGTGGGGGCGAAGGGGTGGTTTCAACGTTGAATGCTGCGTGGAGAGGGGAATCGGAGAGGGGAGAGAGAAATAATGCACTTTTGAACCCTGCACTAATTAATGCACCCACTCACCTCCCCCCCTTCACACCTGCCCCTCCCTCTCCTCACCTGCCCCAGGCACCTCCTCCACGTTAGGCGCCAGCACCACACACTTGGCCCTCCCACTGCGCACCGCCTGCCCCACCTCCTTCAGCCCTGATAGCACACGCCGCCGCATAGCTCCCTGTGCGGGGAGGGGTTAAGTGGGAGGGGCGGGTGGGAAGGAGAAGGGGGAACCACATTCAGGCCCACACTGCCTGCCTGCCCCACCTCCTTCAGCCCTGCCAGCACACGCCGCCTCATGGCTCCCTGTGCGTGCGGATGGGAAGAGGGACGGTGGAAAAAGAGCGAACCTCCTCAGCTACACACCTTCCACACCTCCTTCAACCCTGCCAGCAAGCGCCGCCTCATCACCCCCTGTGCGTGGGGAGGTTAAGTGGGGCTGGGGTGGGGGAGGGGAGAAAGGGATCTCTTTCAGCCCTGCAAAGCCTACCCCACCTCCTTCAGCGCCGCCTGCACGCACCGCCTCATTGCACCCTGTGCGTGGGGGGGGTTAAGGGGGAGGTGGAAGAAGGGGTTAAGGAAGAAGGGGTTAAGGAAGAAGGGGTTAAGGAAGAAGGGGTTAAGGAAGAAGGGGTGAAGGAAGAAGGGGTGAAGGAAGAAGGGGTTAAGGAAGAAGGGGTTAAGGAAGAAGGGGTTAAGGAAGAAGGGGTGAAGGAAGAAGGGGTTAAGGAAGAAGGGGTTAAGGAAGAAGGGGTGAAGGAAGAAGGGGTTAAGGAAGAAGGGGTTAAGGAAGAAGGGGTTAAGGAAGAAGGGGTTAAGGAAGAAGGGTTTAAGGAAGAAGAGGTTAAGGAAGAAGGGGTTAAGGAAGAAGGGGTTAGAAAGAAGAGGTTTCTCCTTCAGTCCCACACAGCCTGCCCCACCTCCTTCAACCCCGCCAGCACCCACCTCTGGATTGCTCCCTGGTCCAATCAACCGGGAGTGAGTCGGGGGAAGGGGGATGGGGAGGGCGGAGGGGTGAAATGAAGGGGGAAGTGTTAGAACTTGAGCTTTATAATGGATACATTAGTAATGAGCTCAAGGCTCTTAAAGTACATCGGAAATGGGCAAGGTAAGGATGGGAAGAGAATCGGGGGCAATCCTAGGGGATTGGGGGTTAATCCCAAGGCAATCTCCAATTGGTGGGTTGGAGATTGCTTGGAGATCAAATTTGGGTTTGGTTGGGATGTGGGTGTACACCCAACCAAACACAAAGTGCACACTACACTAGGATATAAAAGTGCAAGTACAAAATGTGAGATTGAGGGCTAACACTAACACCCCCCCATAGACGTCAACCGAGCTCAAGGTGGAGAAGGTGGGGCACATAGCCCCATGGTGCCAAGGAGACGATGGTGAGGAACCTTCCCAAGGGGCTTGGTGAACAGATCAGCCAGGTTGCAGTCAGATGCAACATAATCCACGTTCAACTGTTCACGCTGGACAAGGTCACGAATGAAGAAGTGGCGAAGTTCGATGTGCTTGGTGCGAGTGTGGTACACAGGATCCTGGGAAAGGTGGATAGTACTCTTGTTGTCACACCAGAGGGTGGGGGTGGGCTGAGGGTAGCCAAGCTCTTGGAGGAGGAAGGTGAGCCAACGGGCCTCGTGAGCCACCATGGTGCCAGCGTAAAGCTCTGTTTCACAGGAGGAGAGGGAGACTGAAGATGACCTAGTGGAGCGCCAGCTAACAACTCCACTACGAAGGGTGAAACAGTAGCCCTGAAAGGAGCGGCGGTCCGTCTGGTCATCAGCCCAAGAGGAGTCAGTGTAGCCTTCCAGGCGAGGAGGAGAAAGACCACCAAGTGTGAGGACATGAGTTGGTGCCCTTGAGATAGCGCAGCACCCACTTAGCCGCACTCCAGTGGAGTTCGGTGAAGCGTCCAGGAGCCACATAGCGAGAGAGGACACTGACAGGGTATGCCAGGTCAGGCCGGGTGCACATCATGGCGTACATGAGGGACCCAACAAGCTCTGGGTATGGCTCGGAGCAGGCCTCCGGTGTGGGAACAGCTGGAGCTGTGAGGAGGTGCTGCAGTGGCAGCGGGGTGGCCATGGGTGTGCACAGCTCCATCTCGAAGCGCTTGAGTACATTGTTGATGTAGAACTCCTGGGAGAGTGAGATGGTGCGTGCCTCGCGATCACGAGTGATCTCCATCCCCAGGTAGTGCTTGAGGTCACCGAGGTCTTTCATGAGGAGGGCTTTGCTCAGGGTTGCCTGGACAGAGATCATCTAGGCCGAGTCCTTGGCAACGAGGATGAAGTCATCGACGTAGATAAGGATGTAGAATGGCTCAGAGTGACGGTGAATGAAGAGAGTCGGGTCAGCAGATAATGGGTGAAAGTCCAATGAGAGAAGGACTTCTTTCACTTTGTTGTGCCATTCACCAGGGGCTTGTTTGAGGCCATAAACAGGGGGATTCAGCTTCCAAACAGTGTTGGGAGGGAACTCTCATGGAAAGCCTTCAGGTCGGTCCATAAATACAGTCTCCTTGAGGTGTTCTTGCAGGAATGCTAAAGAGGCGTCCATGGATTTGATCTCAAAGTCTTCTCGTGCAGCTACATCCAGGAGAGTGCGAACTGTGGGTGGTTTGGATGTGGGAGAGAAGGTTTTGAAGAAGTCAAAGTACTGCTGCTGAGTGAATCCCTTGGCCACATAGCGCGCTTTGAACATTGGGGCCTCGTCCGGAAGCTGCTTCACTCGAAACAACCACTTGCCCCCAACGATGTTAACTCCTGGAGGTGGAGTTTCGTCGTCGAAGGAGTGGTTGCGAGCAAAGGCTTCACACTCAGCTTCCATGGCAGCGCGCCACTCGGCAGCATGGGGACCCGAACGAGCCTCTTGGACGATGAGAGGGATAGGGATGGTCGGGTTCTCCGAGAAGTTGAGCGAGGGTGATGCAGTGATATCGGGGAAGATGTGCGAGAGCTGAGGAATGACAGCGTGGAGATCACACGGCACCTCATGCCTGTCTTCCAGGAGGGTAGAGGGCACATCCCCCCCAGCAGGAGGAGTCGGAGTGATCACTGAGCATCGAATGGCAAGTGCCAGTGGAGGAGCAGCCCTATGCGACCGAGTGCCATGAGCCACTGGAGAAGAGGGTGGAGCAGGCGTGGCTGGAGGGGACGGTTTAGGAGGCTTGGGGGGAGGGAGCGGCCGTCGCTGGTACGTGATCAGTTCGCTCGGTTGTGGGAGAGCAGGTTCTTAAGTGGAGTAGGGAACGGGGGGAGGAGGTGGGGCTGGAGGGTTCGACCGCCGATGATATGTGATTGGTGCGTTTGGTAGTGAGGGCGCAGTTGGCAGAGTGGTAGAGGGGGGGGATGGAGGAGCAGCTGCCGAGGACACCGGAGAGGTCGGATCAGAGACCTCAGACGGAGATGGTGCGATGGCAGGAGATGTAGGAGATGAGGGAGCTGGTGCAGGCGGAAGTTCAGGAGGCGCTTCAAAGTCAGCCCACACAAGAGAGGGTGGTTCGGAGGTGGGGTCCCCCCCGGGGTGGAGTAGTAGGGGCGAGTCTCATCAAAGACGACATCGCGGCTCTGGACTAGTTGTTGAGTGGAGGGGTTGAGGAAAAGGTAGTCGGGGGAGTCAGTGTTATGCCCAAGGTAGATGCACGTTTGAGTTTTGGGACCAAGCTTGCCACCTTGCCGTCGCCGAGCCTGGGGGTTCAGGAGGACATAGGCGGTGCACCCCCAGACGCGAAGGGGGCGAGCAGTTGGTGTTTTCCCGAGCCAGAGCGTGGTGGGGGTGGTGTCGGGGAGATGCGGGTGGGGATACAAATTGTAGAGGAGGGCGGCATGGTAGAGGGCGTATCCCAGCAGCGAGAGCGGTGCGTGAGAGTGGCTGAGGAGACAACGAGTGATTTGCACCAAGGTGTGATTACGGCTCTCCGCTATGCCGTTCTGCTGCGGGCTGTCAGGAAGGGTGAAGTTTTGCAGAATGCCGAGGAAGGAGCAGAAGGTTTCAAGTTTGGTGTTGCAAAATTCACCCCCACCATCTGAATGGAGGCGCTTGACCTTGGTGCCAAAGGTGGTATGTGCTTGGTTAACCCATGCCATGATGGCCTCTGGAGCTTCAGCCTTAGTGTGGAGCAGGTGCACAGAGACGTAGCGAGTGTGGTCATCAACTATCAGAAGGAAATAGCGATGGCCACCTCGTGCGGCAATCGGGGCAGGGTCCCAGACGTCCATGTGCACTAGATCCAATGGGGCAGCTGCTACTGAGGGTGAGGCAGGGTGGGGCTGTTGGCGTAGCTTGATCTTGGTACAGTCAAGGCACGTGGGAGCGGGCGAGTCAGGTGGTGGAGGAAGTGAGGCTGGCAGGCCGAGAAGAAGCTTCTTGGAGGCCATGTCAGCAAGCGTGCGGAAGTTTGGGTGCCTGAGCCGATGGTGGTAGAGGACAGTCGGATTAGAGAAACTGCGACATGAGCATGGTGTGATAGCAGCCTGTGCTTCGGAGGTTGGAAACTGTGGGATAGGTTAGGGATGAGCAAGAGGCGAACATGAAAGTGTTCGCGTCCGCCCCTGCACGAACACCGCCGTTCGGCAAACCGAACAGTGTTCGGTTCGCTGAACGACTTCCCCCAAAAAGGGTGTTCGCCGTTCGCCTGTGAAGGCGAACACCTTGTTGACGCAGGCGAACACGAACGTGTTCGTGGCAAACACGTTCGTGTTCGCCCCGGGACTACATTCACTAAAGTCACACGTTTGTGGATTGTGCATTGTTGACATTTGTTAGGTGGCTGTAAGGTCCAAATAGAGAAAAAATCAAATCGTTGCACATTCCCTCCCCCCACCCCCCAAGCCAGTCCCGCCCTGCTTCATCCATGCTAGTGCCAGCGTGTGACGGCGAAATGCTCGATCTGCACTTCAGCAACGGCGAAATGCTCGATCTGCACTTAAGCAACGGCGAAATGCTCGATCTGCCCTTAAGCAACGGCGAAATGCTCGATCTGCACTTAAGCAACGGCGAAATGCTCGATCTGCACTTAAGTAACAGCGAAATGCTAGATCTGCACTTAAGCAACGGCGAAATGCTCGATCTGCACTTCACTGACAGCGTAGTGCTAGACCTGCACTTAAGTAACGGCGAAATGCCAAATCTGAGCCCAAACACCAAGGCCCGCGACCTAAAAATTGGTCGCGGGCCTATTCGTCGACGAACACATTGGTGTTTGTCGAAGGCCCGTGTCGAACACGAACACGTTCGTGTTCGATGCGCCTCGGCCAGCTGAGCCGGGCGAACGGCGAACGTGTTCGGGCGAACACCGAACACGTTCGCCCCGAACAATTTAGGCCATCGAGGCGATCCGAATAGGAGTTCGTTCTATTGCTCATCCCTAGGATAGGTACACGCAGCGTGTAGAGGCCGCTGCTGTTGAGGGTGAAGCGAGCTAAGACTTTGTTGGTGAGTGGGTCAATGATGTCACAATAGTTTTCGTATTCCGAGATTATGGTGCGGAGCCCAGTCTCCTGAAGTTCCTTTTGGGCCAATAGATTGTGGCGTAGTGAGGGCACGCACATGCCAGTGACAGAGCCGGATGGGAATGCGGGGCATGGGACAGTGGACGAACCTTTGGCAAAAGTGGTGACGCTTGAATCAGCTCCCAAGAAAGGAATGGGTGTTGCGTAGGGTTTGAAGGAGAGTGTCTCTTTGAGCACTGTGTGAGTGGCACCACTATCGAGTGTGAATTCTATGTACTGTGGTGCTTGTGATGAGCCGATGTACTGGGAGCTTGCTTCATTAATCATGGCAGTGCCAAGGAACAAGTTGATACGCACATCAGCAAGAGCACTATCACTAGCACTAGCCGGAGCGGGGTCCTGGACCTCAACTAGGTTAGCCTTACGAGGGTGCATCCAGTTCGGCGGCTTCTTGTCGACTCCGTGGATGGCATACCATTCGTCGTCTTTCTTCTTGAAGCACGTAGCGAGGGGGTGGTTGGTGCCACCACACACGTGTCCCTTGCGGTTGCCATACTTGACGACGTAGGTGCACGGGGGGAAGCGGTTGCGCTGGAAGGGTGCCGAGGCGACACTTGCTTGAGGCACGGGAGCACGGAGAGCGTAAGCCTTGGCTTGAGCCGTGGAGTCTTTCTCGGCAGAGAGGAGAGCGGAGGAGACCTTAGCAAAAGTGAGGTCTTTCGCCGAGGATGTGAGGAGCATCTTCCTCGTGAATTTGTATGCCGAGGTGAGGCCAACAAGAAGGGCGGCTGCAGGAGCTTGTTCGAGGAAGATGATACTCAGCTCCTTGAGCTCACCATGGATGGTTTGCACCTTGACGATGTAATCAGCCATTCCCGGGCAATCCTCAAGGTGGACTTGGAACATGCTATGAATGGGGATGGCCACTCCAACCGCCGTCTTGTTCATGAACCTGTCCTAGAGATGCTTCCAAATGGCGTTGGAAGTGGGGTAGTTGTGGAACGTGTTGACAAGTTCGGGAGGGGTGGAGCCGATGAAGACGCTAATGATAGCCACATCAGCCTTCTCCCACTTGCGGTACTTGGCAACAGAATCCTCGTACTCCTGAGTTGCCACAGCATCGGAGGAATCGGACGGCTCTTTGGGGATGGGGGGCTGTTTCCCCTTGCCATGATTGAGAAGAACGTCCTTGAGGTCAAGTCCACCCACTTCACGACTCAAGAGGTGCTTGTCAACCCCGTAGCTCCATGCCTTGAAATTGGAGCTAGTGCTGTCGGCTTCAAGGCGGAGCGGAGTGATGGGGTTGGCGAGAGTGGCCGAGGCGAAGGCCATGGCGAAGAACCCTTTATGCCTCGCGCGGAGCGGCGCTCTTAAGTCACCGATAGGAACTTGAGGTTTAGGGTTTCCGAAGAAGAATTTTGAGGTTTAGGGTTTTCGAAGGAGAATTTGAAGGAAACGCTGATTCCAGAACTATCGATTAACTGCTAAGCCTGATTCCCCCCCGGCCATGTCCCTCAGCTTCGCGGCTTCGCTGCTACACAGCTGCTCAGCTGCGCGGCTGCACCTATTCAGCTGCAGGGCGATAGAAGTGCCGTTGCGGGGCGACGGGCGGCGGCCCGAAGATGACGCTGCAGGGCGACGGGCGGCAGCCCGAAGATGACGCTGAAGGGCGACGGGCGGCAGCTCGACGATGACGCTGCAGGGCGACGGGCGGCGGCCCGACGAGAAGAATTGGCGGGAACGAGTTTTAGGGTTAAAACGCAATTAGTGAAAGCACCGATGATGCGCTTACCAAAGAAGTCGCGGAAGTCGTCGAGAGTGTAGGGAGAGTGGCGCGGGAAAGTTTCCGGCCACAAATGTCGCGAATCACCGGCGACGGGATTGATGGCCGTTACGCCGAAGAATGCGGGACAAGAGCCCGCAGAGATAGGAGGATCACGATACGCGTGTGCGTTTGAATCGCTCCGATACCAAGTTAGAACTTGAGCTTTAGAATGGATACATTAGTAATGAGCTCAAGGCTCTTAAAGTACATCGGAAATGGGCAAGGTAAGGATGGGAAGAGAATCGGGGGCAATCCTAGGGGATTGGGGGTTAATCCCAAGGCAATCTCCAATTGGTGGGTTGGAGATTGCTTAGAGATCAAATTTGGGTTTGGTTGGGATGTGGGTGTACACCCAACCAAACACAAAGTGCACACTACACTAGGATAGAAAATTGCAAGCACAAAATGTGAGATTGAGGGCTAACACTAACAGGAAGGGGAATAGAGGAGAAAAGGGCCCTGCGAAGCGAGGACCCTGCACTTCCCTGTCAGAACCCGCACATATGTGAGGGGAGAAGAGGGGACGTGCACGAGGGAGGCGAGGAGGGACGTGGAGAGGGGAGGGGATACGTGGGATGCATGCATCCACGCCCCAACCGGGGTGACGAAGTGACTACAAGGGGCGTGACAAGGAAAGCGCGAGGGGGGAATTTTTTAAGTCAATTAACAGTAGCAAGGGCACACAGTATCTATGAAGTCACAAAATAGAGTACTTTGCCCAGGGAAGCGGGCAGAAGGCCCCTTCCCTCCCTTGGCTCTGAGTTGAAATCACCTTGATTGGGTCTTTCTGAAGCGCCCTGACTTGGAATCGCAGCAGCTCCGCCAGCAGTTCAGCCACGAGCGAGTTGAGCTCAGAAGTCACTACCTGGTGGGCGTACCTGGGTGCAAAGAGGGAGGGACGGAGGGGGGGAGAGAGGAGTGGAGGAGAGGAGGGGAGTGCTTCGCCAGTTGTGCCGATTAGCCAGCGCGGTCCGCTCCACCAGAGGGTTGTCGTCACTCATGGCGGAAGGGCAGCAGTACTAGAGAAAAGCTTTAGCAAGTAAGAAAGAGAGTTATAATTCCCTAGCTAAAAGAACTCTGATCGCAAGAACTGTATTCACTCTATTCTCTAGTACTGCTGCCCTTCCGCCATGAGTGACGACGATCCGCTCCACCAGCGCGATCCGCTCTGGTGTGACCAACTGGTGGGCGAACCTGGGTGGTGGGGGAAGGGGAGAAGTGGGGGGAAAGGAGGGACCTGGGGAGAGGCGGCAGGGGGGTAGAGGGAGGAAGGAGAGAATGGACCAGCAGCTCCGTCAGCAGTGCGCTGAGCTCCAGTGTGACCACCTGGTGGGCGTACCTTTTGGGGGTGGGTGGGTGGGGCGTACCTGCTGGCGAAGACGGGGGAAGAGGGGCCCGAGAAGGGAGAGAGTGGAAGATAGCAGGGGGATGTGTGAGGGAGGAAAGGGGTTTGGACCAGCAGTGCAGCCAGAAGTGCACTCAGCACCGGGGTGACCACCTCCTCCTGGGCTGGTGGTGGTACCTGGGTGGTTCGAGGCAGGGCTGTGAACATGAACATGGGAGAATGGTGAATGGCCACGGCAAGGTGAATGGTGCACAGCGCCACGGCAAGGTGAATGGTGCACAGCGCCACGGCAAGGTGAATGGTGCACAGCGCCACGGCAAGGTGAATGGTGCACAGCGCCATGACAAGGTGAATGGTGCACAGCGCCACAGCAAGGTGAATGGTGCACAGCGCCACAGCAAGGTGAATGGTGCACAGCGCCACGGCAAGGTGAATGGTGCACAGCGCCACGGCAAGGTGAATGGTGCACAGCGCCACGGCAAGGTGAATGGTGCACAGCGCCACGGCAAGGTGAATGGTGCACAGCGCCACGGCAAGGTGAATGGTGCACAGCGCCACGGCAAGGTGAATGGTGCACAGCGCCACGGCAAGGTGAATGGTGCACAGCGCCACGGCAAGGTGAATGGTGCACAGCGCCACGACAAGGTGAATGGTGCACAGCGCCACAGCAAGGTGAATGGTGCACAGCGCCACGGCAAGGTGAATGGTGCACAGCGCCACGGCAAGGTGAATGGTGCACAGCGCCACGGCAAGGTGAATGGTGCACAGCGCCACGGCAAGGTGAATGGTGCACAGCGCCACGGCAAGGTGAATGGTGCACAGCGCCACGACAAGGTGAATGGTGCACAGCGCCACAGCAAGGTGAATGGTGCACAGCGCCACGGCAAGGTGAATGGTGCACAGCGCCACGGCAAGGTGAATGGTGCACAGCGCCACGACAAGGTGAATGGTGCACAGCGCCACAGCAAGGTGAATGGTGCACAGCGCCACGGCAAGGTGAATGGTGCACAGCGCCACGGCAAGGTGAATGGTGCACAGCGCCACGACAAGGTGAATGGTGCACAGCGCCACAGCAAGGTGAATGGTGCACAGCGCCACGGCAAGGTGAATGGTGCACAGCGCCACGGCAAGGTGAATGGTGCACAGCGCCACGGCAAGGTGAATGGTGCACAGTGCCACGGCAAGGCAAGGTGAATGGTGCACAGCGCCACGGCAAGGTGAATGGTGCACAGCGCCACGGCAAGGTGAATGGTGCACAGTGCCATCATTCATGTTCATCGGAGTTTTGCAATTCTAAAGAACCATCTCTGAGAATCTGAGTCACTTTTGAGAACGCTTATTGGTGGTGTTTGGGGGCTGGTGTTCGGTAGCTCAATGCCTCACCTGCCCTCCTCGCCTCACCTGCTGCTTGCCTCCTCGACAAAGAGATCGCCTTTGTTTTGCAGGGTGTTCTTGGGTTCTTTAAAAAGTCATCAGGGTGGTTATGAGAATTATTGAAAACTCCTTGCCTCACCTGCTGCATGCATCCACGCCAATGTAAGTTGTCGGCGGAGTTTGCCTTTTCACTGCACTGCCTTCTTGCCCTCTCTCCTCCTCCCCTTCCTTCTCCTCCTCCCCTTCCTTCTCCCCTTCCTTCACCTCTCCCCCCTTTTCCTCCAATTCCTTCTCCTCTCCCCCCTTTTCCTCCCCTCGTTTCTCCTCCCCTCCCTTCTCTCCTCCCTTTCTCCTCCCTCGCCTTCGCCTACCCACTCGTTTCCCATCCTCCTGCCTCTCCTCCACTCGATGCCCCTCCTCCCTCGCCTCTCCTATGCACTCCGCTTCCCCCTCTCCCGTCGCCCTACTCTCCCCCCCATTGCCCTCCATCCCACACTCTCCAAACCCTTCCCTCCCCGCTCCCCTTCCCACCGCCGTGCCAGCACACCCCACTTCACGCCTCTCATGCTCCGCCCATCCCGCGCCTCCTCCATTCCTCCCACCATTGCCATAGCCCCCATCTCCCCCATACTTCGGATCATCACCATAGGTTTCGTCTACTCCATGGTTCCCACGGTCGCCATGAGTCCCTCTATCCCCACACCTCCCACCACCACTAAGCACCACACGCCCTTCTTCCTCTTCTTCCTCCTCCTCCTCCTCCCCCTCTCCCTCTCCCTCTTCTTCTCCTTCTCCCTCACCCCCATCCTCCCCCTCTCCCCCTCCCTCTCCTCTTCCCTTCCCCCCATCCTCCCCCTCTCCCTCTCCCTCTCCTCCTCCCTTCCCCCCATCCTCCCCCAACCCCTCCTCTTCCGTCACGTCCTCTCCTGTTCCCCCCCCTTCCCGCTCCCCCTCCCCATCCCCATCCTCCTTCTCCCCCTCTCGCGCGTGTCTTGCCAGCACTACCATTCGCTTCAAACGGCTCACTCGCTTCTGCTTCGGTGTCTGCCTCTCCTTCCCTCGCCTCACACCAATGCTCTCCGAAGTTGCTGGGTTCACCCGAACCCGTCCCATCCTGCCAATTCCCCCCCCCTCACCTCCGCGTCCCTCCCCACGCTCTCCCCCGCGGCCCCCCTCGTTCCCCCAAACGCGCCCCTCTACCCGCCCCCCCTCACGCCCCTTTCCCGTGCTCTCCCCCTTTCCCTCTCTCCCGCCCTTCCCCATCCCTCCGCCTGCCCCTCCTCCCCTCTTCCGCCCTCCTGCTCCGCCCCCTGCTCCCCCTTCTCCCACCCCTCGCCTCGTTTCCGCCAAACCCAGCCCACGCGCACCGGCATCCTCAATTTCCTTTCCCCTCTCTGCGCCTCCCCTCTCTGCGCCTCCCCTCTCTGCGCCTCCCCTCTCAGCGGCCCCCCTCCCTTCGCCTCCCCTCCCCACTCCGCCTCCCCTTCCCCATCCACGCGGCCGCCCGTCGCTAATACCCCCATCTGCGCTCCCCCTCCCACTGGCGCGCAAACCGATTTCTGCGGATTCCTGCGGGGGAGGCGGTAGATGCGCGCGCGTAGTAGGGATGACGGCGGTAGCGCCGGCGGCGGTGGCGGCGGCGAGGAAGTGATCCAGGCGAAGCGCGACCGGCGCGGGCTTCCACCGCCTCTTCGCTCCGCCTCCGCCGCCGCCGCTTCCGCCGGCGCCTCCGCCGCCACCGCCGCTGTCTCCGCCGCTGCCGCCACCGGGGGCGCCAACTGCGCGCGCGTGCTTGTCCCACCCGCCATTCCTGCTCCTCCTCGCGACTCTGCTGTCGCGTCTTTCAGCCATCGCGAATTTGATATTTTCGCTCTTTCGTCGTCTACCGTCGCTCTCTTGTCGCCAGCCTGTCGTTCTGACGTTGTAGATATGGCGCCGCTACTTTACAGACCCAACGTCGTTTTGTCCCCTCACTCGCACTCCCAACACAATTTTCCTGGTTCGCGAACCCAGCTCCTGATGTCTGGCTGCAAGTTCGGTACGCGATTTAAGCAGATCCGGAACTATGCGTTAGTGATGTGAAGTAGGGAAAATTAGTCTTGCAAAGAAAACCTCAAGAATTTTTTTTCTCCTCAAATTCTACCAGAATCTGGGGAAATTTTATCAGTATAAATTACCTTGATACACTGATAATCAGGATGATTTTGTATAGTTACATTTTTTTAGTTTATTTTTAGGGATTTGGATTTCCTTGATCAATCACGATTTTATTTTAAGTACATTGTGACTCAGTTCAATAGCAAAACCAAAATATAACACAATAACACTCACAATTACATCAATGTAATGAAATAAATGTCAAACTATAATAACTCTTGTAGGCTGTAGTGAGGTGCCTTCTAGGGGGTACAGTTGTTAGGGTTGCATACTTGTATCCCATCCGTTTCTAAACCTACCATTCCGTTGTGCGTACTTCTTGAGATGGTATCACGAGGTTCGCTCCTTAGCCTAGCCTAGCCTCGCCTAGCCCGCTCCGTCCGTTCCTCCTATCGCTCGCTCGCTTCGCCCGCTCCCGTACGTTCCCCCCCCCCCCCTCCTCCCTCCTAGCCCGTTTTTGCGCACTTAGCCTACGCCTACGCCCCGTACTCTCGCCTAGCACGCGCTCTGCCCCTAGCCTGCGCGTCGCCCGTGCGCCCTGCCCCTAGCCCGCACTTCGCCCGTGCGCCCTGCCCCTAGCCCGCGCATAGCCCGTGCGCCTAGCCCCTAGCCCGCGCGTCGCCCTTGCGCCCCTGCAGAGCAGCCCGCGCCACCCTGCAGAGAAGCGCGCGCCACCCTGTAGAATAGCGCGCGCCCCTGCAGAGCATTCCGCGCCTCTGGAGAGCAGCGCGCACCCCTGCAGAGCAAGCCGCGCCACTCTGCAGAGCAGCGCGCGCCCTTGCAGAGCAACACGCGCCACCCTGCAGAGCAGCCCGCGCCCCTGCAGAACAGTGCACGCCACTCAGTAGAGTAACGCGCGCCATCCAACCGCCCACATGCCTTAACAGCCGCCCACATGCCTTCACAGCCGCCCACATGCCTTCACAACCGCCCACAGGCCTTCACAGCCGCCCACAGGCCTTCACAGCCGCCCTCTGGCCTTCATAGCCGCCCCCAAGGCTCCCCCCACAGCTGCCCACAGGCCATCTAGCGTGCCACGGCCCGTAGCAGGCCATTCTCGGGCTTTCTCACCATCGTTTTTTCCCGTTCCCTACCGTTCCTTCACTGGGTTCACCGTTCCGCCGCGGCTGGAGGCCGTTACTCCTAGTCCTAGTGTACCTTTGGCGCTCCTAGTACTAGTTGTTCTCGCTCCGTGCTCTGGCCGTTCCTCGCCTAGTTTCACCTGGCGCTCCTAGTTGTTCTCGCTCCTCGCTCCAGCCGCTCCTCGAGCACGTAGTTTCTAGCCTGCAGTTTCTAGCTCCGGCCGTGTCTCACTCTAGCCGTTCCTGCTCCAGTCGCTTCTAGCTCAGTTTGCTCTGTGCTCCGGCCGTTCCTTGCCTAGTTTCACCTAGCGCTCCTAGCTGTTCTCGCACCTCGCTCCCAGCTCAGTTTGCTCCGTGCTCCGGTCGTTCCTCGCCTAGTTTCACCTGGCTCTCCTAGCTGTTCCCGCTCCTCTCTCCAGTCGCTCCTTGAGCCTGTAGTTTCTAGCCTGTCATTTCTCGCTCCGGCCGTGCCTCACTCCAGCCGTTCCTCGTTCCAGTCGCTTCTAGCTCAGTTTGCTCCGTGTTCCGGCCGTTCCTTGCCTAGTTTTACCTGGCGCTCCTAGCTGTTCTCGCTCCTCGCTCCCAGCTCAATTTGCTCCGTGCTCCGGCCGTTCCTCGCCTAGTTTCGCCTGGCGCTCCTAGCTGTTCTCACTCCTCGCTCCTAGCTCGAGTCGCTCTTAGCCTGCCGCTCTTGCACCCCGCTAGCCTTTCCCATGGCGTCCACTAGAGTTCTCCAGCAGCAGGGACAGCAGCAGCGACAGTTCTAGCAGTGGGAACTTCAGCAGCAGTGGCACCCTCAGCAGCACTGGCACCCTCAGCAGCAGTGGCGCCCTCAGCAGCAGTGGCGCCCTCAGCAGCCGTGGGGGCCTGGTGGTTCGGGTAGCATTGGCTGCAGCAACGGCCCAGCCAGCTAGGGGGCTCGTCGCGGTGGCCGCGATGTCGGCCCGTGCCAGTACCGGATCTTGACTGGTACTGGCACTACCTGCTAGTGTCCTGACCACTCTGCACAGCGCTTCTTCAGTCGCCTTGACGACCTATACCGTGAGCGTTTTGGGCCTGAGTCAAGGCCACCGATCTAGCCCGGTCTGTCTCGTAGAGGTTACGTTGTATTTGATATGTCTATGGATGCTGCTTATATTCTCACGTATGGATCTCTTGGCTTGCGTGTACCTAGCTTAGGACATTTGCCTATTGCTAGTGTAAGTACTTGTGCATTTAGTGTAGGTACTTGTGTAGTCACTAGGCCAGCCGTGACGACTGCTGTCGCGTCGCTCTTGTGCACGCTGGACTCAGGCGCGTCTCAGTGCTTCTTTTGCGACCATACCGCTGTCACACCTCTTTCAGCTCTAGTCCCAGTTGCCATGGCTGATCCTACTTCAGGACCAGCAGTCGCTCGCAGCTCAACCACTCTCGCGTTCCCAGCTGTGCCTTCTGGTTTCCTCACTGGTCTCTACATCCCCTTGTTCTATCGGAACTTGGTGGTGTGAGAATAATGAGAGGAATGAATGACTTAGAAAGCAGGTGGGTACATATAGGAAACCTGAAAGTGTTGTACCCTATAAGAACTACCCCACTACAGCCTAAACAGATAATAGCATATAAGTTTGACACACCCCCATAGGCAAAGTGGGGGAGAATAAGAGGTCACAAGACCAGTCAATAAAGGCAAAACAAGCTCAGGGTGGATCACAAAGTCACCACGAAGTCTGAGCACAAGCAAATGGCCACAAGGCCAGTTCACATGCAGAGTTATATAAAGGAGAACAAACAATACAGTGAACACAACCTAGAAAGTGTAAGCATGCAGGTATATGTATAAAGAGTACAGTACAAGCAAAGTCAAGAAGAAAGCAAGTGAGGCGCAGTAGGTACAAGGCCTAACACAGTACAGAAACGCTGATGATCACAAGGCTGAAGTGCCTTGGTGAAAACATCAGCAGTGTTGGCCTGAGAGGCCACGTAAGCAAGACGAAGCTGGCCACGCTGCTGCAAATCTCGAGCAAGGAAGTAGCGCAGAGCAATGTGTTTCATTCTGTGCTCCCGACACAAGGCAAGCATGACCTTGTTGTCAACGTACAGAACTGGAGGAGAACGAGGCGCCTCTCCCAAGTCGGTCAGCAGGTAGGTGAGCCAGCGTAGCTCCTGTGCAGCCATGGCCCCAGCGTAGATCTCAGCCTCACAACTGGAGCTGAGAACAGAAGAAGAGCGGGTAGACCGCCAAGAGACAGAACCAGAGCCAAGGCTGAAGGTGTAACTCTGTGACAACCGCTGCGTAGCCAAGTCGTCAACCCAGGAGGCGTCAGCGTGACCAGTGAGGACAACTCGAGCCCGTCCTCCAAGCACGAGCCCCATGCCCGATGTACTGCACAAGTAGCGCAACACCCTCTTCGCAGCATCCCAGTGCACCTTTCGGTGCCTACCGGGAGCCACGTAGCGAGCCAGAAGGCTGAGAGGGTATGCGAGGTCAGGTCGTGTGCAAGTCATCAGGTACATGAGGCAGCCCACAAGCTCTGGATACGGGCCACTCGGCTCTACGGACTCGTCCGAAGGTGGAGCTGAGAGCGAGTGACCGGTAGGCAGAGGAGTGGACTGTGGCGAGGAGTACGTGAAGCCGAAGCGTTGAAGGACCTGGTGCACCATGTGTGACTGAGTCAAGGTAATGGTGCGCTGTGCTCTGTCCCGGGTGATCCGCAAGCCAAGATAGCTTGTGAGCTCACCCAGGTCTGTGCACGTGTGTCTCTTCTGCAGCTCGGACTTCACGTGGGCGAGTGCCTCAGTGTCAGCAGTAGCAAAGACCAAGTCGTCTACGTACACGAGAACGTAGAAGGGCGGCAGAGTGGTGTCAGTGCGTAAAAACAGCGACGGGTCAGCTGTGGAAGGAGCAAAACCAAGAGCAGCAAGAGTCGTCCTCAGGGTGTCGTGCCACTGACGGGGTGCCTGGCGGAGACCGTAGACTGGACAGCGGAGGCTCCACTGGGTACCAGCAGGAAACGACCTAGTGAAGCCAGGTGGGCGGCGCAGCCAGATCTCCTCGTGCAGGCTGCCCTGTAGGAAGGTTGTGCTGAAGTCAAGCGAGTGGAGCTCGTAGTCACGCTGAGCAGCTACGTGCAGCAGTACCCAAAGAGTGGTCATCTTCGGGGTAGGGGAGAAGGTCTGGAAGAAGTCAACTCCCTGTCGCTAACTGAAGCCACGTGCAACGTAACGCGCCTTGAAGACAGGCGGAGAACCCGGTGGCCGCTTCACCCTGAAGATCCACATGCCACTGACGATGTTCTTCCCAAGCGGGGGAACCTCGTCGACGTAGGTGCCTGTGGACTTCCAGGAAGCCATCTCGGCGTCCATGGCTGCCTGCCACTGAGAGGAGTATTGGACCCTCTATCGCCTCTGCGTAAGAGCGCGGGGTCGGGATGTCTGGTGCATCCGGGTCTCCCTCAGGGGCAATCAGCATGGACACGAGATGAGGTACAGAAGCAGCAAAGCACTCAAACTCCTCCTGTCTGTCCTCAAGAACGTCTGTGCCAAGAGAACACTCACCCCCGACGGACGGAGGACAGACAGACGCAGACGCAGACTCAGCAACAAGACTAGTGGCAAAGTCTAGGCGACAGGCAG